GGTCATTACGGTAAATACTTTGTTGGATTGAAATGGTAAAATATTCAAAACTTTAAAAATCTATCAATAAATGTTTAAAAATAATAAATGGCAATAAATATTATATTAAAGATTAACGCATAAATATTATGCTCCAAATGTATAAAGCCACTGCATTATTATGCCTAATTAAACTTTATTAAAAATATTAGTCTTCCTTAGGAAACTAATATGACCTATGTCACATTCCTACCCTCATACATTTTCAATATATATAAGGTAGACACGTACATACGTCTTTGGTCTGAGAATGATGCACGTCTTTCCACTACGTGAGCGACTGTTAACGACTCTTGGCATCCTTCACAACGTGCTTCATATTTAGCTATCATCGGCTCATGAGGCAATCTTGTGTGCCTAATTCTCAGCCTTGTTAACACAACTTCTACTTGTCGGTTGGGATGGACGCTGGTCACCCAACTGCCAAGATCATCTCTAATCTCTAGCAGTTTGTTTCTGGAGGTATGCCTCCATTGCTCTCTCCAGTTATCACGAAGACAACTTCTGATGCTAGGTATCAAGTCGGTGTGTGGGAGGTGAAAACGAGCACCACTGATACCAACATGCGCTGGCACCCATCGCTACTGCAAGGATGGCATGTAACTAACATCGTTTTTATATTTTGAACCAACTGTTTATATTCCATCTGATCCTTGGCAGTCGTGCCCTAGGCAAGGTGTTAAAAGAAGAAAACATGCAAATGAATTCAAAGACCAACTCGGTTGTGAAACAATCCAAGGGGCACAAACAAACATAGAAACACTATTTGACGACTTTAACCCCCGTCAGGAGTTATCATAACACTTAGGAGACGTCTTCGAAGAGAGAGAATAATAGAAAATGGTAAATAATGGAAAGGATATGGTGAAAAAAAGATAATACACTGTGAATATCGAACTTTACATATTAGCAAAAAATAACATTGGAAATAAATATTTCTAATTTTTACACAGATGAATCCAAAGTAATGAGACTTGGTCGAAAATGTTTACTAAAAAAATAACTAAGTCAACATTAACTGAAGCCTTACAAGGACACTGACTTTACAAACTGGCTTAAAATGACCGTTAAAGCCGCACGAATGGCTTGTCTAAGCGTTAATTCTAGGTCAATATATCTACCGTAACATCTTCACAAAGCATGATATTTTCTCCTAGATGCATATACAGTGTACCCGTCAAACAGTGACATATACCTCCGATTGGCAACTAAATTAAACTAGAAACAAAAAATAGACATCACTAAATAATGAAGATGCAATAAAAGACATATCCATTTCTATATATACACAACTTTCTGAAGTTGAAAAAAAGTTACTGAATATAGTATCATCTGAAGAATGTTCTAACAAATTTTGAAAAATTATTTCTGCTTTCAAGAATTGTAGGCTGGCGTATTCTTTTCCATACAGTAAAATACTCTAATAACAAAGATAATAAAATAATAATAATAATAAAATGATAACAACAATTGTAATAAAAAGAACAACAATGATAATAATAATGATAATAACAACAACAATAACAACAATTATCACTGCCAATCATTGTCACTGTCACGGTCATTATTAGTTATTATTATTATTATACACTGTCAATAGTATTATTGTTATTATAATTATTACTATTATTATTATTATTATGATAATGATGATGATGATGATGACCCAAAAAATAATGATAATAGTAATTATAACAGAGTTCACCACAGTAACAGCAAAAGAAAGAAAATAAAGTTACTGAAAATTGAAAAGACCTCAGGAATCTCTTAGTAACAGATACTACATTCAATTAATAAAATAAATGACTGACATACATATTCTCTAGGATAACAAAACATGTCAGTATGTAATGTATGGAACAAGCCATTTCTTTAAACAATATTCAATTTTCCTCCAAGTGATTTCTTTATTCAAAATTATTTAGTGTGAATAGTCCCATAATAATTTCTGTAATGATATTCTTTTATCTGCTTATTAAGTACCGGCTTTATATAGAAAGATAAATGTATAACGATATACATATAAATATATAACCTACCTGCATGAATTTTACTCATGACTAATACTTTAATATTCAATAACCTGGATGCAGTATTAAAGACATTCATCATTCGTTAATTGCTGCAATAGTCCTGTTATATATATATATGTATATATATAAATATGTATAAATATATATATATATAAATATATATATATAAACACACACACACACACATATGACTGCCGCGATAGCTCAGTAGTTAGAGCACTGGACTCCGACCCTTGTGCTCCCGGGTTCAATTCCTCGCCGCGGCAGTCGTAAAAATGCCTGTGCTCTGACTGCTTGCTCGAGCCCGAGAAAACGAGTCAAACGCAAGTGTCGTAGGGGAAGTCACCGCCGTGGCACAAGTGTCAGCGCGCCGAACCGCAGTTGATTAAAAATGGCATTCAATCAGGCAAGGGTGACACTGCCATATA